GTTTGAAGCTAGCAGAGGTTGATTCATGAAGTTTAAGGAAAGATGCCGTCTCCATAACATAAAAGTGCAAGGTGAAGCACCAAGGGCTGATGTAGAAGCTGAAGCAAGTTATCCAGAAGATCTAGCTAAGATAATTGATGAAAGTGGCTACATTAAACAACAGATTTTCAATGTAGACTAATCAGTCTTATATTGAAAGAAGATGCCATCTTGGACTTTCGTATCTAGAGAGGAGAAGCCAATGACTGGCTTCAAAGCTTCAAAGGAGAGGCTGACTCTCTTGTTAGGGGCTAATGCAACTGGTGACTTTAAATTGAAGCCAATGCTCATTTACCATTCAAAAAATCCTAGGGCCCTTAAGAAGTATGCTAAATCTACTCTGCCTGTGCTCTATAAATGGAACAACAAAGCCTGGATGACAGCACATCTGTTTACAACATGGTTCACTGAATATTTTAAGCCCACTGTTGAGACCAACTGCTCAGAAATAAAGATTCCTTTCAAAATATTACTGCCATTGACAGTGCACCTGGTCACCCGAAAGCTCTGATGGAGAAGTACAAGGAGATTAATGTTGTTTTCATGCCTGCTAACACAACGTCCTTTTTGCAGAATCAAGAGTAATTTCAACTTTCAAGTCTTATTATTTAAGAAATACGTTTTGTAAGACTACAGCTGCCATACAGATACCTCTGATGGAACTGTGTAAAGTAAATTGAGACCCTTCTGGAAAGGATTCACCATTCTAGATGCCACCAAGAACATTCGTGATTCATGGGAGATCAAAATATCAACATTAACAGGAGTTTGGAAGAAGTTGATTCCAGCCCTCATGGATGACTTTGAGGGATTTAAGACTTTAGTAGAGGCAGTAACTGCAGATGTGGTAGAAATAGCAAGAGAACTAGAATTAGAAGTGGAGCCTGAAGATGTGATTGAATTGCTGCAATCTCATGATACAACTTTAATGAATGAGGAGTTGCTTCTTAAGGATGAGCAAAGAAAATGGTTTCTTGAGATAGAGTCTACTCCTGGTGAAGATGCTGTGAATTATTGAAATGACAACAAAGGATTTAGAATATTACATAATCTTAATTGATAAACAGTGGAAGGGTTTGAGAGGATTAACTCCAATTTTGCAAGAAGTTCTACTGTAGGTAAAATGCTATCAAACAAGATCACATGCTACAGTGAAATCTTTCGTGAAAGAAGAGTCAATCGATGTGGCAAAGTTTATTGTTGTCTTATTTTAAGAAATTGCAACAGCCACCCCAGCCTTCAGCAACCAACCGCCCTGATCAGTCAGCAGCCATCAACATCAAGGCAAGACCCTCCACCAGCAAAAAGATTACAACTCGCTGAAGGCTCAGATAATGGTTAGCATTTTTTAGCAATAAAATATTTTAAATTAAGGTATGTACATTTTTTTTTAGACATAATGCTACTGCACACGTAATAGACTACAGTATAGTGTAAACATAACTTTTATATGAACTGGGAAACCAAAAAATTCATGTGACTGACTTTATTGCAATAGTCACTTTATTACAGTGGTCTTGAACTGAACCTGCATATCACCGAGGTATGCCTGTGAAGTTTTCCTTTCTTGACCAAAAAAACATCCCAAACCTATCGCCATATAGTCAATTCCGATTCATGGTGATCCCACGTGTTACTAAGTAGAATTACTCCATAGGGATTTCTTGGCTGCAATCTTTTCCAGAAGCAGATTGCCAGACCTTTCTTGTAAGGTGCTGCTGAGTGAGTCTGAACAGCCAACCTTTAGGTTAGTCAAAAAATCTTTTGCCGTTGAGTTGATTTTGAACCATAGTGACCCTGTGGTTTCCAAGGAGTGGCTGATGGATTGGAACGGCCAACCTTCTGGTTAGCAGCCAACTATAAACCATTTGCACCACACAAGGATCTTTTTCCTTTCTTGGAAGTCTTCAGTGAATAAATATGAAAAGATGTACTAAGCACATGAAAAATATTCAGGGTAATAAAGATGTCTGCTATGTGATTTACACATTCTTAGATACGACACCCTTTTGCAACATAACAACAAACCTAAACAACCAACCTAATCAACCAACTGCAGTGGCCCTACTCCTGTTAGAGAGTGCCGAGTCTTCCTACCTGATGAACAAACATCCTTAGCCTGAGTGGTTCATTGAGGGCTTATTTACTGACTAACACTGGCCTTCCAAACAGTCTCAAGCAACTGCTTTGTATACAAGGAAGAAGGTGGTAGAAAACTGAGTTCAGTTCTCTGGTAGAATGTGCAAATTTTATTCGCTGGGATCTACAGATTCTTGGAACATAAATTGCCGGGCTAACTGGGTGAAGAAAGAACTAGAAACTAGGAACTTTGTACCAGATTTGCAGACATAGCTATTCACCATAAAGTCAGCGCAAGCACTGGCGTGTTGGTATTTTGTATAGGTCAAAATCAAGGTAAAGAGTTAAGAATTATTAAGTGTAATGTTATTTCATTTAATCCACATGATAATCCTATCAGTTAGGTCATTGTTTGATTTTGTAAAATTTTATTTAATTCTAAGAACTGCGCTACTGGATATGTCATTTTTTTTTTTTTTTTTTTAAATATATAATCCTCTTAACAACCCAATCATTAAGTCACTGCCTGACTAAAGAGGAACCCATAGACATTCGGGCAGGGAGAGTTTGGAATTTTTCTATGAATTCTAGTGGTTTGATAGGTTTCCGGTTTTATTATTAAGTACTTGCCTCTCTCCTGGGTGGAACCAATCTGTAATAAAAGTGTGTTCCAGCCCACTGTTTTGTCAGGGGCCTCTGGCAACAGGAATCAGGAAGCCATGGTTAATAAATTGCTTCCAAAAATTGTATAGAGAATCATTTTCATATTAAAAATGATATACAATTGCTAGAATGAATGCTCTGAAAAATAGAGAACCACTGATTACTAGTAAAGGGGGAGCAGAAAAGAATCAAAATATAAGGATAATGAGAATGTAAAGAAATATTTTTATGTATGGGCATATGCAAAACTAGAAATGTTTTAAGAATCTTCAAAAATCTAACCTGATGTAAAAAACTGTTCTTGGGAGAAAGGGAAGAGACTCTGGGAAGAAACAGAAATTAAGCTGAAACTTAAAGGTTGCAGTATTTGAAAGTATTGTTATTAGGTGCCGTCGAGTTGGTTCCAACTCATAACGACCCTATGTACGAGAAAACGAAACACTGCCTGGTCCTGCAGCATCCTGACAATGGTTGCTATGTTTGAGCACTTTGTTGCAGGCACTGTGTCAGTCCATCTCGTTGAGGGTCTTCCTCTTTTTCGTTGATCCTCTACTTTACCAAGCTTGATGTCCGTCTCCAGGAACTGGTCCCTACTGATAACATGTCCAAAGTACATGAGATGAAGTCTCACCATCTTCCCTTCTAAGGAGCATTCTAGCTGTATTTCTTTCAAGACAGATTTGTTTGTTCTTCTGGCAGTCTATGGTATATTCAATATCCTTCACCAACACCATAATTCAAAGGCATCAGTTCTTCTCTCTTCCTTATTCATTGTCCAGCTTTCGAATGCATATGAGGCGATTGAAAATACCAAGACTTGGATCAGGAGCACCTTAGTCCTCAAAGTGACCTTTTTGCTTGTCAACACTTTAAAGAGGTCTTTTGCCACAGGTTTGCCCAATGCAATATGTTGTTTGATTTCTTGACTTCTGTTTCCATGGGTGTTGATTGTGGATCCAAGTAAAACGAAATACTTGACATTTTCAATATTTTCTTGTTTATCTGGATGTTGCTTATTGGTCTGGTTGTGAGGATTTTTCTTTTCTTTATGTCGAGTGCAATCCATACTGAAGGCTGTAGTCTTTGATCTTCATCAGTAAGTACTTCAAATCCTTCAAATCCTTCAAAATTGTGTCATCTGTATATGGCAGGTTGTTAATCAGTTTTCCTTCAACCCTGATGCTGCATTCTTCTTCATATAGTCCAGCTTCTCGGATTATTTGCTCAGCATACAGATTGAATAGTTATGGTAAAAGGGTACAACCCTGACACACATTTTTCTTGATGTTAAACCACACAGTATCCCCTTGTTCTGTCCATATGACTGCCTCTTGGTCTATGTACAGGTTCTCCCTGAGCACAATTAAGTGTTCTAGATTTCCCATTCTTCATAATGTTATCCATAATTTGTTATGATCCACACAGTTGAATGCCTTTGCATAGTCAATAAACAAAGGTAAACATTTTTCTGGTATTCTCTGCTTTCAGCCAAGATCCATCTGACATTAAAAATGATATCCCTTGTTCCACCTCCTCTTCTGAATCCAGCTTGAATTTCTGGCAGTTCCCTGTCAATGTGCTGTTGCAACTGTTTTTGAATTATATTCAGCAAAATTTTACTAGCTTATGATATTAATCATATTGTTCAATAATTTCCACATTCTGTTGGATCACCTTTCTTTGGAATGGACACAAACATTTGAACATAAGAGGAAGTAAAGTGGTAGGATATTCTAGTCAATTAGAATAGAATACATACATAGGAGTATGTGTCTGTATGTATTCTGTCAAGGTAACTGGGACAGATGATGTGGCAAACAGTAGAAGCTGTAGTGGGATAGACAATGTGGGAACATCACAATATGATGGATTTTATTCTCTAGGTTCTTCTTGAAAGAAAGTATGGCTGACTTATTTATATTCTGTTTGTATCCATTATCAATGCTCCATTTAATATCACTGTAGAGATTTGTTTTCTAGCACTCTGATCAGTTCAAATATTGTAGAACTTCAAAAAGCTTAAAAGTCACTTCTTTCAGCTGTAATTTCTGTATTTGTTTTGCCTCCTTTGCTAAGTGAGGTGTTTAAACATTGTTTATAATGTTTTTTAATTTTTGCTCTTATTTTTGATGATCTACTTGGAAAACAGGTGGTGTGAATGAAAATCTTTCAAAAACTTGAATTATGTGTTAATGCTTTTATTTTTTTATGTCCAATAGACAGAATGTGCAAATTTCATCAGAGTACTTCAACCCTATAACAAAACTCACATCTATGTGTGTGGAACTGGAGCATTTCATCCAACATGTGGATATATTGACCTTGGAATCTACAAGGAGGTAAAACAATTGAAGAGTATGAAAAACATAATTTATTATAATACCGTGTTACTTATTGCCATGTGCATTTTATGACATAAGACAGGCAGATTTGAATATAAAGGTAGAATCATATAGTTTATGAGTTGTTTAAGAACTTATGTGTGTTAGTTCCCTAGGGCTACTGTAAAAAATATCACAAGTTGGGTGACTTATAAGAACAGAAATTCATTGTCTCACAGTTCTAGAGGCCAGAAGTCCAAATCAGAGTATTGACTTTGTTGATTACTTCGGATGGCTGTGAGAGAGGAACTGTTCCTTGTTGGTCTTCTAGCTTCTGGTAGCTCCAGACATTCCTTTTCTTGTAGCTGCAGTGTCATATGATATCCTTCTTCTGTCTCCCTGTGTCTGTGTATCTTTTCCTCTTTTATAAAGACACTAGTCGTATAGGGTTTGGACCCACCCTACTCCAGCATGACCTCATTCTAACTTCGCTGATAACATCTTTAAAGACCCTATTTCCAAACAAGATCACATTCACAGGTATTGAGGGTGAGGATTTCAACAGATCTTTTGCAGGGACACCACTTAATTCATGACATTCATGTTCCTAACTATTTTATGGACTGTCAATTTGATTATATGCTTTATCGTCTTAGTATTTGTCTTGATTTTCTCTTGAATTTCCTTTGTAACTGGATCTACATAAGATGTTGCTGTTGGTAAAAATCCATCTCCACAAGATGTTGCAATGGAATTGCATCTTTTAAAGAATTTCGTTGTTACCATCCAATAAGGTTGAACCTTTTAAGTATACATACAATTGTGGAAACTAAGATACAGAGAGTTTAAATGATTTTTTTAATGCATATAGATAAACAGTAGCACCCTGAACTAATTGTTTATGCTGGACCAAATCTACATAGTAGAAATAAAGGATGTATTAGGAGTAATGGATTCCAGATATCAGTGAGCATTTTAATAAATGGGAAGCATGTAGACTTCTGTACTTTACCAATACGTTAGAGTGCTTTTTTTGTGTGTCAGGAACTGTGCTATGCACTTTACATGGATTGCTTCTTTTGAATTTCACAGCACCTCTAATGAAGCAAGTACTGTTATAATTCCCAATTTACAAGTCCATAAAAATTGTCCCAGTGGAATTCAATAACATGCCTAAGATTTCCCAACCAATAAGTTGTCCAGCAAGGATTTGAACGAAAACAGTCCATCTCCAGAGCAAGCATGCTCAACTGAGCTTTAGAAAACGTGCTCTAAATTGTTTTTTTTTTTTCATACGGGCTGACGGGTTGCATTGTCATCCTCATATATATATGTATATGTTTCTGTGTATATATGTATGTGTATATGTGTGTGTGTGTGTATACACTTTCTGTGAATAACCACACATATTTGCAGGATCGCTGGCTATGTTTGAAAGTAAAGTCTGGGCTCATGGAGCAGGATTCTTTACATTGACTTAATTGATTCATGCGGAAATCAAAACTACGACTGTGGCTGGATAAATGTTTCTCTCTAACCAACATTTATAACCAGCCCAGACTCAACTGTTTGGAAACAAAGCAACTCAGATAGTTAAATCTCTGAGCCACTAGGAGACCTGGCAACTTGAATCCATCATTCTTTGTTGTTGGTGTAATTTTCTCCTGCCTAGTTTTGATGAAGGGTAATATATAACAATAGCTCATAGCATAGTGTGTAATTGCATGAGATAGTCCCACAGCTTAGGTGTGTTTTGAGGCCTGAAGCTAAAGGCCAAACTCACAATCTGTTGAGGGAGGCACATAGTGATCCATGGCTCCTAACAGTCATAACTGCTGAAAGGGAATTTAAATGGAGCTAATTACTTAGCTTGGGACTGTCAAGAATCCGTGAGTCAGTCAATTTTACTAATTTTGTGAATAAGAGAATTATGAGTGAACAAGGGGTACTGAGCCATGTAAGTTTTAGCTGGTCAGGAGAACAGATAATTGTATGACAACCCTGCTTGAAGATTGTTAACTTCTTTTATGTGCTTTTATTCCCAGGAACTTTTGTCAGAAGTCATTGTGTTTCCATAGGGAGTTTAGGAGACACTTTCATTTTCAAATAGACAAGGTTGCTCCTAGGTAGCTGGGAAGAGGGAACAGCATATACAAAAGGGAAGGAGGTGAAAGGTGGAGAAAGAAGCATTCTGGGGATTGTTATTTAAGGAAGAATCCCACATTTCTGACTTTGGGCAGTGAGTTGGAGGGCGATGTTATTTATTGAGATGAGAGTAGTAATAAGTTTGTGGGCAAAATGGTTAGTTTTGTACATTCTGTATTTGAGAGATATTTGGTAGATCCTGTCAAGTGGGCAGTTGATTCTGGGATGCTGGAGAGAAGTCAGGGCTGGTGTCAACCATTTCTAATAGCAGTTTGAGCATGTATAGCCAGCCAGAGTTTGAATTCTGGCTCTAGTAATTTAGCAATGCTATACCCTTATGTACTCTGCATAAACTTTCTAAAAGTCTGTTTATTCAGTAAAGTGATGGTGATATTAATAGTAACTACCTCACAGAGTTATTTTGAGGATAAAATGAGAAAATGATTGTATGGGCTTTGGCATAGAGCCTGCTTCATAGCAGTCACTTAATTCTCAGCCATTATTGGGCAACAGGTTTGTAGAAAGGTAAAGAGACATGAATTTCAAAAGAATATATCAATATCTATGTTCATATCTATAGATATATTTATCTATATAAGGTATCTTCATCTACATTTGTATATCTATATGTGTAGATATAATCTAAAAAATAAAATCTATAAACTATAAATATACTTATGAATATAATCTGCAATGCTGGAAATGTCTGGTAACTTGAATAATTTGGAAGTATATTCTTTTCTCTGGGATCTCCCCTCTGCTACTGTAAATTGCATCTTTTAATGGATATGATACTTATAATAATTTTGCCTAATGGTTGTCGTGATTAAATGTTTGCTTACTGTCATTCTTATTTACTCATCTCTTTATTTCTCCAACGATATTTCTGTGTATGCAACTTAGATAGATGCTTTGGTGAATAATTATTTAGACTCAAGAAATTTCAGGGGGAAAAAATCTTACAAAATTAAAACTGTCTCACAAATTAGGCTGTTGTGTAATTCAGTGAGTTTATCTTAGGAAATGCTTTTAATTATCAATTATTTCTTACATCATTTTTCATTGGTGTCCTTGACTCTGGCTGAAGTTTTCTTGCTGTCTCCGTTCTCCAAGAGATTGTGAAGGGGAGCTTGTCTTCAGCCTCCACAAATACCAATGTTTGGGCTTATCGTGAGAATTTAATGAAATGTTGCATTTGAAAACAGATGTCTAGACAATTGTAAGAGTTTATCTAGTACCTTGCATCCACTGTGACATTCTCTCAGAAATTTTCTTTTTCTTCTTTTCCTCAGCATTTTATTATTTTTTTTGAGGCACCAAGATTCAATTTACATTTTCCCTTTACAATATCCCATTATAGGTTTTAGAGTGAACAGGTTTGTTTAACCTGTGGAGAATAATACACTCTTAATGATGCTTTAAACATGGAGTCAGTATGTATAGGACTTTTTTTTTTTCTTTCCCCCCCCCTCGCATAGCTGTAGCCCCATACATAGCCAGGAAGCATGTTCTAAGTATTTTCTCATTGGGCTTTTTTCATATCTAGACTGCAGTATCACAACCTTTCATTAGATGACCAATTCTAACTAAACATACTTGGACTTGAATGTTGAAGGCCAAGGTGATTCTATAAATTAATTTCAATACATTTTTGAATCCATGTGTTTGAAATTATTAGGCTGGAGTAGTTAAGAAAATGAATTTTGGAGCTGGCCCTATTTCAAGCTCTTGCCTCACCCCTTACTAGCTACGTGACACTGGACAAGGAATTTAACCTCTTCGGTCCTCAATATTTCTCTTACAAAGCTGATATTATTAAAGTAGGCTTGTTGTAAGGATTTAATGACGCAATGTGTATAAAGCTCCTGGCACATGATTAGTACCTATTAAATATTAAGTAATATTATTGTTCGGAACCCTGGTGGCACAGAGGTTAAACATTCAGCTGATAATCAAAAGGTTGGTGGTTCAAACTCACCAGCCACTCCTTGGGAAAAAGATACGGTAGTCTGTTTCCTTAAAGATTACAGCCTTGGAAACTCTATGGGGCAGTTCTGCTCTGTCCTATAGTGTCCCTATGAGTTGGAAATAACTCTGCGGCAATGGGTTATCATTGTTAATATTATTGTCATTATTAAAAATATGGAATAGCAATTCATAATCAGGCTATTTAAATTGCAGTAACTTTTTTTTTTTTTTTTAAAAAGATATTGTCCTAGCTATCTAGTGCTGCTATAACAGAAATACCCCAAATGGGTAGCTTTAACAAACAAAAATTTATTTTCCCATAATTTAGGGAGCTAGAAATCCAAATACAAGGCACTGGCTCTAGGGTAAGGCTTTCTGTCTGTTGGCTCTGTGGGAAGATCCTTATTCCTTGGCTCCTTGGTGATCTTCATGTGGCATGGTTTCTATCTTCTTCCATCTCTGCTTCCTTTATCTGCTCCTTTTATATCTTGTAAGAGATTGACTCAAAACTCACCTTACACTGTCCTGTCTCATTAACATAACAAAGACAACCCATTACCAAATTGGATTGTAACCTCAGGCATAGAAGTTAGGATTCACAACACATATTTTTGGGGGACACAATTAAATCCATAGCATTCCACCCTTTGACTTCCAAAAATTCATATTTTTCCCACATTCAAAACACATTTACCCTATCACACCATCCCAAAAGTCTTAAATCAACTTCAAGTCCAAAATCTCATCTTCTGAATTATCTAAATCAAATATACGTGAGGATTTAGGCGTATTCCACCCTGGGCAAAATTCCTCTTCATCTGTAGACCTGTGAAATCTAGAATATGAGTCATCTGCTTCCAAAGTACAATGGTGGAACAGGCACAAGGCAGACATTTACATCACAGATGGGAGAAATTGGAGGGAAAGGAGAGATAGCAGGCACCGAGCAAGTCCATAACCCAGTAGAACAATTTACATTAGCTCTCAAGGCTTCAAAATAATCTTCTATTCTTTTGGATCATCTGGGCAATGGCCCCACCCTCCAGAAACTGGGTGCTGGCCATGCTCTCTGGATTCTGGGTGGATGCCCCTCAGCCCTGGGCTTCATCCCTGCCTTCCAGACCCACTGAGAGGGCAACTCTGTTTTCTCAGCTTTGGGTGGCCCTGTTCTCCTAGTCCACCTGAGTGAAAACCCCACACCCTCAGCCCTGGCAGGCCCCATTCTTCTGCCCCTTTGGCATGGCAGCCCGGCCCCCTCAGCTTTGGTCAGTAGCGCCATTCCCCTGACACTCATGAATGGCAGTCCCACACTACAGAACCGAGTTGAGGAAGTTCTGTCTCTCTGAAACCTAGGATGCTGTCTCTCTACCCTTTGAAGCCAATGCAGCCCTACTTCCCATGCTCCTTCCAGTAGTTTTGCTGATCTCTGAGCTGCTCCAGGGATGGTCCTTTTCTTTTCTTGGAGGACAACAGATGTAGTTCCTTTGGCCTGTTTCCAGCCAATAGAATTCCAAGAGGCAGACATCGTTCTTTCCTTTTGTTCTTTTTCTGTCCTTTTCAGTCTAGGCTGATGGGTTTTCTGCTGTGACAGTTGGTTAGATCCATCTGTCAGGCTCAATCTCTTTAACAAAAGATTGTGTAGCTGGGTCTTTGGTGAAATTCTAGGACACATGTCCTTAGTTTGTACAACAGAATTTTCCATATCTCTAAGTTTTGTTTTCATATTGCACAGTTCATTTTTAAGTCCATCTCTTTCGTCTTGCATCTTACCATAAGTGACAAGGAGAAAACACGCAACCCCTTTAAGATCTTGCTTAAAAAAAATCTCCTTAGCCAAATATCCAAGTTCATCACTTACAAGTTCTACCTTCCACCAAACATTTGAATATTATTCAGACAAGTTCTTTACCACTGCATAAAAAGCATTGCCCTTCCTCCTTTGTCCAATCACACATTCATCATTTTCTTTTAAAGCCTCACCAGAAGCACATTTAATTTCCACATTTCTAGCAACATTCTGTTGCTGATACCATATGTATTATCTAAGATGGTGGATACTTTTTCAATAGCTCTCCTCACTTCCTTCTGAGCCTTCACCAGAATTGTCTTTGAAGTCCATAATTCTACCAACTGTCTCTTTAAGGCAATCTAGGCTTTTACTGTTTAGGCACCTTAAAACTCTTCGAGCCTCTACCTGTTACCCAGTACCGAAATCACGTCCACATTTTAGGTATCTATTGAGCAGCGCTACCACTTCTGGGTACCAAATTCTGTCTTAGTTACCTAGTGATGCTATAACAGAAATACCACAAATGGGTAGCTTTAACAGACATAAATATATTTTCTCACAGTTAAAAAAAAAAACCAAACCCATTGCCGTCGAGTAGATTCTGACTCATAATGGCCCTGTAGGGCAGAGAACTACCCCATAGGGTTTCCAAGGAGCAGCTAGTGGATTCGAACTGCCAACATTTTGGTTAGCAGTCAAGCTCTTATCTCACAGTTCAGGAGTTTAGAAGTCCAAATTCAGGATGCCAGCTGTAGGGGAAGGCTTTCTCTCTGTTGGCGCTGGAGGAGCAGCCGTATCCCTTGGCTCCTTGGTGAACTCCATGTGGCATGAGGTCTATCCCCTCCCATCTCTGATTTCTTAATCTGCTGTTTTTATATCTTGTAAGAGATTTACTCAAGACATACCCTACACTAATCCTGTCTCATTAATATAACAGAACAACCCATTCCCAAATGGGGTTATAACCACAGGCATACATAACACATATTTTGGGAGGAACAGTTCAGTCGATAACAGGCGTAGTAACTACTGTTGGTTTTGGTCAAAAGAAAAGAAAAAGATCTGAAATAACAACATAATATATCAAATAGTCCAATTTCCTCTATCCTCTTGTTTCATTATTTGCTTTCTAGATACATATCACTGAATGGTCCTTTCTTATTACATGTGTTCTCTGATATAGATTTGTAGATACTCCATCTAGAGAGAATGTCTGACATTCTGAATTTTTCTAACTGGAGTACATTCAGGACGAGTCATCGGCCTTTTTTTGGATGGTAGTGTTGTCATTGCTATGGCATACTCAAATTCAGGGGCCATATTTATTATACATTCATATTATTCTTGGACGGTTCAACTTAAGATGTTATTTTTTTTTCCCTGAATATTAAAAGTCTGCCAATGTCATTCTGTCTGTGGCCACTATTATAAAAATAGATGCTGCAGCCAAAAATAATTATATGACTTTAAAGTGTACAGTGTTTTCATAATAGTGAAAATACTACAGCAGGATTTTTTTGACCACATGTATCAACAGCTCTGAAAATAAACTGCCTGCCTTAGAACACTTTTATGTCACTAAAATGCCAAAATATTATAAGGCTTATGTGATATAGTATAGTCACATGTGCTTAGGCAGATAGACCATAATCATTGTTATAAATTCTATAAATATTATAGTAAAATTATTTTTTTCAGTGAGGAAATTAGTTGCATGAGGCTCAATGATTATTTATTAGGCTTAAGAAATGTGTGTATTTGGTGGTGATTTTGATAAAGATTATGGTCCAGACTAATTGAATTGATGAGTATAATACTACATCTAACTGAAAAATTCACTTAATGTTACCATTACCACTTTGTGTAAAAGAGACCAAACATGAGGATTGAGTCTTGCCAGACATAATATTTGCTAAAGAGTTAAGGAGCACGGTGTGATACGTATGCTATATGCTCAATCAGTTTTTATTGAATTAATGAGTTGGAATTTAGTTCTTATCTCCTATGTTCTTGCTGACTTTGATTTTGTTTTTAAAATCACTTGTGTTAATATTTCTTATAACAGGAAGTTATGTTCAAACTAGACACAAATAAGTTGGAGTCTGGCAGACTGAAATGTCCTTTTGATCCTCAGCAGCCTTTTGCTTCAGTAATGACAGGTAAGATCAACCAAGGCAGTTCTTACATTTAGGTAATTTTCTGAGAAAGTATGAGTAGATTAGACCACATTTTCTTATTGAGTTAAAGGTCATTTTGGATTTATTTTCTACTGGCTATTTGGGTCCAGCCTGGGCCAAATCTCTGTATACCTGGCATTCTTATCAATAAGGTGAGACCCCAGCAATCTTTAATGCCTGCACAGATTCTTGTTAAATGAATTTCTAGCTGAATTCTTTTGTAATGTAAATGATCACATGCTTACTTAATCTATAGTTTTGCACTTAAATGTTTCAGATTCTTAAACTGAACCATGTCTGTATTTGCATCAGTATGGAAGTTAAACTTAGCAATTCCTTCAACACAATAGGTTACAGAATATGTTGAAAATTTGAATGGAAGGATTAATAATAAGGTATAAGTGGCTAAGATAGTAAACAAAAGGAATCAAACTACATACAGATAATAGAATCTTATAACACTTTTTCCTCCAATATCACTGTCTCCTGATTATATTAATTAAAATGTTATGAAGTTAGTTGCTAGCATATCCACTTTGTATATATCTTAAATGATCTCACTTTGTATACATCTTAAATTCTCTTATGAGACCGCTGTCCCGTTCAAAAAAGGCGGAACTGTGTGGTCTGAAGTTTTTCTGAGGAATGTAAGCTTGACCTCTGAATTTCAACCATTATAAGGACTACTTTTGTCTTGGTTTCTTTCATGACTTTAGTCCCTTTTTATTTAACTTGTCTATCAAATGTTTGAATAGATAAGAGTGAAGCACTATGACATTTTAATTTTTCAGTTAGTGAGCACTGGTGATCTTGCTTGGAAGTGAAAGCATGTGTTTTTCCACGTTTTGAAAATTATATGACTAACGTTCATTCATTATTCTAAGAAAATAAGATAATTTGCAATTTTGACCTGTCAAGTGGGTTGACACACCCTTAATAAAAAAAACAATAGATTGTAGGCAGTGGTGACCCCTCTTAGGAATCTCTAGGTAATTTTAAATACAAAGCAGACAATTTTAAAGTGTGGATAGACAGACCCAATCATTAGGATGAATCATACCAGTTTGTCCTGACAAACCGCTCAATTATCAGCAATTGTATATGCTTCAAAATAATGGTTTGCTTCCTGTATGCTTACCAAACTGTCTCACAGTGCATTTTGTTGTTGCTGGCAATATGTTCGTCTTTTTGTTTTTTTTCAATTAGTCCGATAATGAAATATTGCCATTTACCTGAAATATTTTCGGGGAGTGCCTCAGGAGGATGGGAGTAGTACTATATTTGCATCTAGTTTGCATAGCTAGAGTTCTTTCTTTTTTGTTTTGTTTTTTCCTTTAGTTGTTGACTATTGTCATTAATTAATTTGGGCTATCCTAATAGTTTCAGTAAAAGGCTTATTTAGAAAGCTATAATCAGAGAATTTAGAAAGTGTCTTGAACACTTCTTATACAAAAGTAGAATTTTAAAGATAAGTTTCTGAGGAAAATTGAGGTTCAGTAATAAAGCAATATCTTTGTTTTATATTTAGTTGTCTAAAAAATCAAAATACTCTGAAGAATTTAGCCTTTTTTGAATCTACTAAGTGCACCCAAACTAGTTGACTATAAGAGTTTCTTGTAGTAGCCAGAGGCTTAGCTCTCAAAGGGCAACAAGTCTACTCTAGGGACAACCTTCTTCTCCCAGCCACCTCCCCGCCTTCCAAATTATGCTGACTAGCATTAGGGAGCATGTACCCTTGACTCCCTGTTTCCTCTCCCTTGTCCTTTTCTCTCCTCCTCCTTCCCTCCTCTTCCTCCTTCCTTTCCCCTCCCTCTCCTCTTTCTTCTCTTTCCCCTTTTCTCTCCCTCCTCCTCCTTCCCTTCTCTGCCCTTCTTTTCATCCTAGTCTCCTGTTTTTCTCCCTCTCACTCTCCTTTCACTTCTCCTCCTCCTTCTCCCTTTCTTTCCATCCCTTCCACTCATCTTCCTCCTTTCATTTCACTTCCTCTCTTCTCTCTCCCTCTGTGGTAAACCATGGACATGCACTTTACATAAATAATAGGACAAAGAAGTTTGGTATGCGGTAATGGCAACATTTTTCTTTTTTCAGAAATTCCTGTTTATCAGAACCATTAGAGACATGATTAGCTACAAGGAATGCAACAAGTTATAATTACAAAGAGTGACTTCAGTGCTGAAAGCTCTCTTTCAGTAGAGGTTAGGCAAAGAAAAGTTGTGGTCATTGAGGTTGTATGGGTTAAGTAAATACTAATTATACAGTCTACTCCTCATTATGGCATTTACTTTTTAATATGTTTTCCTTGTTGCTACAAAGAGGAACTTCTAATTACGTTATATCTTTGAATTATTTGTGGTGAGAAGGAAGAGAAAAAGTGCTTATTCAAAAGGGAAGTTAATGCATATGTAATTATTAATTCAGATGACTTTGACCTTTTTTATATTCAAGCATCTAACACCAGCTTACCAAAATTAATTGAGTTATATTTCTTCAACTAAGCACATTTTTCAAAATCTGAAAGTGAAATTTGTGAAACAATATATTCTGATGTTAAGCAATAAACATCATTTGTTTCATGCTGTGCAGTGAAATTAGTATATTGTAAATAGTCTCTACTGCTGTACTCTAAAAAGTCCTATGTATTTTTTCTCCCTCTCAGATGAGTACCTCTACTCTGGAACAGCTTCTGATTTCCTTGGCAAAGATACTGCATTCACGCGGTCCCTGGGGCCTACTCATGATCACCATTACATCAGAACTGACATTTCAGAGCACTACTGGCTCAATGGTTAGTGATTTTCTCACTTATGATTGTTTTTCCTTTGTTTTTGGATAGATAAGAAGCTCATTATTATTCACTCAAACGCGTTTTGGGAGAATTGATTTAGCTCAGCGTATGAATACATTTGAAACAATCCCCCACTAAGTTAGACAAACCTCTAGAAATGTTTGAGTATGTAATCATAGTTTGTGTTGTTAGTTGCCCTCAAGTCACCTCCAACTCATGGCGACCCCATGTATAACAGAATGAAACATTGCCTGGTCCTGTGCCATCTTCATGATCATTGGTATGTTTGAGTCCATTGTGTGGCTGTTGTGTCAATCCATTTAATTGAGAGTTTCCTTCATTTTCACTGACCCTCTACTTTACCAAACAAGATGTCACTTTTTAAGGAATAGATTTCCTGATGTTACGTCCAAAGCAAGTGAGCCAAAGTCTTGCCGTCTTTGCTTCTAAGGAGCATCCTGGTTGTATTTCTTCTGAGACTGATTTGTTTGTTCTTCTGGCAGTCAATGGTATATTTAGTATTCTTCACCAACACCATGGTTCTAATGCATCAGTTCTTCTTTCCTTTCATTGTCCAGCTTCTGCATGCATATGAGATGTTGAAAGGACCATAACTTGGGTTGGGCACACTTTAGTCATCAACATGACATCCATTTACTGAGTGTGTGCTATGTCCTAAGTTCTAATTAATATGTTTAATATTCACAATAACCTATATGGGAAATGCTATTATTATATGCCTTTTATAGATGAGGAAACTGAGGTACAGGGAAGTTATGCAATTCAGTCAAGATCCTACAGCTTGTCAGTTACAGAGCTGGGATTCAAGCCTGCAATCTTCCATTTTCAATTACCAACCAATACTGTTTATGAACCCAATGATAGTGATTGTATTGTAATGCTAACTTCTATTGTTTAAAGATGATTTATGTTTGTGTTAAGACATGTTCCTCCAGATTTTTAACTCTTATTGATATTAACTTGCCATTATTTTGTCTGATCACTTATTGTTTATGGGTCATAAAATACTTTGGGTTTTCAAAAAAAAAAACTCTCGAATGTTTTTAATGAATTCAAGGAACAATAGAAGGCTTCTACTTTGTCCCACTGCTTTATGAAGGGTCATATTTTATCAAGATTTTCTAATGCTTTCTAATTAATATACGACTATTACATTGCATGGCAAAATAATGTAGCACTGCTGTTTAAGGCAGACAGAGTTTCTCATTCCTGCCATAAATATTGGGCTTTGGAGGAGGCCAGTGTAGGGATTTCCTGGGGGCTATCTCTCCATCTGTCAGAGGGTCATTTAACCAGTGACAGTATAAACATAAGAGAAGAACGCTTTAAAAACATTTCCTTACAATACCTACAGATCAATTTATTTACACAATAATGTGATCTCCATTGATCAAAGAGTACCCTTTCAACAGCAAAAACAAATTTAGAAGAATATACCCAACTATGTGATTACTTATAAATTTGTTTAACACATATGCAAGACAAGAATATCTTTTTGTGCATTGCGGGGTCTTTGAAAAATAACGTGATCTGCAAGTAACCCAGGGTTTTCACCTGTAATAAAGCTTGAGTATCTGTTTAGGTACGAAAATATTCTTATAACTTTAAAATAAAGTATAAGTTTGCATTCACCAGTTTTGGTGAAGGCAAATATCATCATATTGCCTCTCTCTTAAGAGATTATTTTATTTTGGTTTTCACTATGACACACCTATAAAGAAGTCTGCAGCATTGTCAGAACAAATGCAGAAAATATTATTTGCCTAGAATGCTGTTTTTAGTACTATATGAAGAGAATTACAAGTAGGAAGTGTTATGGACGGAATTGTGTCAGCCCAAAATATGTGTTGAAAATCCTAAACCCCTATATTTGTGGATGTAATCTGTTTGGGAATAGGACTTTCTTTGTTATGTTGATGAGTCCACGTCAGTATAGGATGTGTTTTAAACCAGTCTCGGGAGCCCTGGTGGTGCAGTGATTCAAAGCTGTTGGCTGCTAACCAAAAGGTCAGTGGTTCCAACTCACCAGCTGCTCCTCAGGAGAAAGATGTAACAGTCTGCTTCCATAAAGATTTACAGCCTTGAAAACCCTATGGGGCAGTTAACCTGTGTCCTATAGGGTCACCATGAGTCAGAATCTACTTGACAGCAATGGGTTTTTAAACCAATCAGATTTGAAATTTGAAAACAGCAGATTAGGTGCAGAGAAGGAAGCACAAATGGAGGGGAAGATACACTCCACATGAAGATCTCCAATGAACTGAGGAACAGAAGCTGAAAAGAGACAAGGATTTTCCTCCAGAGCTGACAGAAAGAAAGCCTTCCTCTAGAATCTGCACCCTAAATTCAGACTTCTAGTCCCCGAAACTGTGAGAAAATAAATTTCTTTGCTCAAACTGCTCACCTGTGGTATTTCTGTTATAACAGCACCAACAAACTAAGACAAGAAGTATTGAATTAACATTCCCCTAATAAACAACTTTTGGGGGCCTGTTGCATACTCAGTGCTATTCTGCCCATTGAGTCTGTAAAGATAGAGTAGTGTTCCTGGGCTCATGAATGATCAGTGCTCTGCTCTGCCTGGAGCATAAGGAGAGAGGTGGATGAGGCTAGAAAGCTGTAAATATTATCCTGAAATCAATGGGGAGTCGTCTATGGTTTATTTTTTAAGCAGTGAATTAAATCTTTGTTTTTTGTAAAAGTAACTGGCAATAGCATGAAGGGAAGACTAAAGGAGGATGAGAACACAGAGAGAAGAATCCTTTCATGAAAGCAGGAATATGAGGATGGGACTGGAACAAAAGCAGTGGCAGTGGGGGACATAAGAATATATAGCTTAGAATATTTGACAGTTGATACTTTATTGTAAATAGAAAAATCCTAGGATGTGAGGTAGAGTTTAAGAGAAGATTTTGGATGCTGGGAAAACTTTGCAATTTAAGAGGAAGAAAGCAGCAGAAATGAAGAAATTTAACGTAAGAGAAGGGATAAATGATAGAGAAAGTTCTCAGTGGATGGCATGCAGACAAATGATTCAGAATTAGGAGAACTAATATTTAGGGTGCTAAGTCATTCAAAGCAGAATTGTACAGTTGTTAATAGCAAGGGTGAGTCTATGTCCTGGTTTGCTCAGGACATTTCCATTTACCTCTGTTATCATTCTACTCTCAAAAGTGTCCCAGTTCGGACAAAAAATTAATAGCTATCTCTGCGGAGCTTAATTACCTGGTTTTACCATTCATTTGTGGCCTTGGTCAAATTACTTAACCTTTCTGTGCATTTAAATTCTTTGTCTAATAATTTAGCATAATAAGAGTATCTATTCACAGGGTGTTGTGAGGACTAAATTAATTCATACAGAGAAGTCTGTTAGAAGACAATTTTAAGAGCTGAATTCTTGTTAATATTATCAGTATCATTATTATCATTAGTCCTGAAGATGAAGGGAGTGTCAAGCTAAAACCTTGAATGTTCTGTGATTCTCTGACATCTGTTTGGCATTTTTAACTATTGACTACCCTTTCCTTCTCTCTGTCTGTTCATAATTCTGTAAACTCATTAATTCTAATAGCTTAAGCTGCTTCCTATGTTCCAGTGTCCTCAAGCACTGTATCTCCAATCTTCTCCTGTAACTAAGTGCCTAGAAAAAAACTTACTTAGATGTGTTCATTTTTATCACAAATTAAAAAAATTTAAAAAAAAAACTGGTTGCTTAATACAGGAATAAAGATATCTAAAACCTCAGCTTTTGTTGTGCTGCTAACTTGAGATTTATACATGTTGTTTAATGATTTTTTACTCAGTTTCTTCACATATACATACATACATATATATATGCATGTGTGTGTGTGTGTGTGTGTGTGTGTGTGTGTGTGTATCTTAGTCATCTATTGCTGTTATAACAGAAATACCACAAGTGGATGGCCTCAATAAAGAGAAATTTGTATTCTCACAGTTTAGGAAGCTAGAAGTCTGAATACAGGGTGCCAGCTCTACGGGAAGGCTTTCTCTCTCTGTTGGCTCTGGGGGAAGGTCCTTGTCGTCAATCTTCCCTGGTCAAGGAACTTCTCAGAGCAGGAATACCAGGTCCAAATGTAGTGCTATTTTCCTGGCTTTTGTTTCTTGGTGGTATGAGTTCCCCATGTGTCTCTGCCCACTTCTGTCTTTTATATCTCAAAGGAGACTGACTTAAGACACAACCTAATCCTGTAGTTTGAGTCCTGCCTCATTAACATAACTGCCACTAATCCCACCTCATTAACATCGTAGTGGTAGGATTTACAACACAGGAAAATCACATCAGATGACAAAATGGTGGACAGTCACACAATACTGGGAATCATGGACTAGCCAAGTTGACACAGATTTTTGGGGGACACAATTCAATCCACAACAATATGTACGTATGTATATACTGTTACAGATTGAACGTGTCCCCCAAAAATGTGTGTCAGCTTGGCTAGGTCATGATTCTCAGTATTGAGTGGTTCTCCACCATTTTGTGATCTGATGTGATTATCCTATGTGTTGTAAATTCTAACCTTTATGACATTAATGAGGAAGGACTCAAACTACTACAAGATTAGGTTGTATCTTGAGTCAATCTTTTTTGAGATATAATAGAGAGGGCTGAGCAGAGAGGAGAGGGACCTCGTTACCACCAAAAATGAAGTGCCAGGAGCGAAGCGTGTCCTTTGGACCCGGGATCCCTGTGCTGAAAAGCTCCTAGACCAGGGGAAGATTGATGACAAGTACCTTCCTCCAGAACCAATAGAGAAAGAAAGCCTTCCCTCAGAGCTGGCATCCTGAATTCAGACTTACAGACTCCTAGACTGTGAGAGAATACATTTCTGTTTGTTAAAGCACTAGGTAACTAAGACATATACTAAGTCTAAAAAATTAAAATTTTAGAAGTCTAACTTAAAAAAAAAAATCTTGTTCTCCTTTTCTAACCTGCCCTTCAATACCAGTTTCCTCAT